CTGCTGCTGCTGCTGCTGCTGCTGCTGCTGCTGTTGCTGGTGCTGGGCCTGCAGCAGAAGCATCGGCAGCAGCAGGACCCTCGTTTGCTGTCTTTAGGGCTAATACTGCGCGCCCTCTCCCCCCCTCAGGGCCCCCAGAGTTTGTCTTCTGAGCTGCAGCAAAAGGAACAGCAGCAGCAGCAGCAGCAGCTGCTGCTGCTGCTGCTGTGGTTGCTGCTGCTTTTGAATGCAGACGGTTTGCTGCAGCAGCAAGACCCGCAAATGGTGCTGCTGCTGCTGCTGCTGTTGCTGCAGCAGCAGCAGCAGCAGCACGAGATACACCTGAGGATGCGAGACCCTGGGGGCGAGAATGCTTCGATGGGCGCAGCAGAAGAGGAGCAGCAGATGTATGCTCAGACCCCTCCGCTGTACACCCGAAAGCAGCCAGCTCTGCTGTCTCCCTGGACCTCTTGCATGCAGCAGCAGCAGCAGCAGCAGCAGCAGGAGCAGCAGGAGCAGGAGCAGGAGCAGGGGGAGGAGCGCAGCAAGCAGTAGATTCACCCTGTTGCTGCTGCTGCACCTGCTGCACCACCTGCTGCTGCTGCTGCTGCTGCTGCTGCTGCTGCTGCTGCTGCTGCTGCTGCTGGGGGTTTGCGGCGGACATTGTGGAGAGGGGTTGGGGAGCTGCGTGAATAAACTTTTTTAAAAGTGATGAGAGCTGAAAGCTGTGCAGATGACTCGGGCGTGCTGCAGCTGCCTATACACCTGAAATATCCCCCCGTTGGCCGCCACCGCCGCGGCCCTCTCCCGCAGCAGCAGCGCGGGGTGCTGTATGTGCAAGAGAAAATACAGAATAATATAATATAATAAAAGGCAGATGAAAGCAGATATAAATATAATATAGAGAGAAATATATATTGTTTAATATATATATGTATGTATTATACATATATTTTGCACATATTATACATATATATTTACATATAAATATATATGTATATGTATGGTGTATATTATATAAATATATCTGAACAGGAGGCCAGCGATGGCTACAAGGAGGACATATCTACAGGTGTATGTGAATTGCACTTTATAAAAAAAGAGAAAAAAAGAGAGAAAGACGAAAATAAATTATATTAAATAAAGATGCTGCAACAATACAACTGGCGGCGGCCCCCCTAGTATATGATAGTTGAGGATACACCGCGGCTCTACCGGCCGAAAGGACAAAGTTGCAAAGAGGAAAGCAGAAGAAAAAACAAGAAAAAAGAATAAATGAGCTGCAGAACGGCGAGAACTCGGCATTCAGGCTGGGGTGTACATACAGCGGCCTGCGGCGCCCGCCGACCCCCAGAGCTCCCGCGGCGGCTCCTAGCAAC